TGTGGAGCAATATAGCCGACTTGTTGAGATGGTGGTGGTGGTGGCGGGGGTGGAGGCAATCCCTGAGGCACGCTAGATGGAGCGGATACCTGCACTATAGGTAAAGCTGGGTGGAGATGGATGGGGAGTTGAGGATGAATGTTGTATGGATTGTGCTGCATGCTCACTAAGGGGGGAGGGACGGCCACTGAATATGGGTAAATATTCACTGGCTGCGGAGGAGGTGCATTCATCGGTGGCGGTACTACATTCATTGGAGTCTGCACCATATTAACTGGCATCTGAGCACTTTCAGTTTGTTGACTTGGTTGGTCTTTGATGGTTTGATCTGTTTTGGAAAACAATTAGGAAATGAAACATAGCAAATAAGAATGCTATTAGTTAAAGGGCTCTGGAATACTATAACCCAAATACTACCTAGATTAATGTATACATTTATATCAGAACGCAATGTACTGCTTTCCCAGAATAAACTTATTAACCACTTTGTATGCATCAGCACATTTTTTGAGTTAAAGATGTTCATCTACTTGCACAGTCATTTCAAAGAGAAATGTACAGTTATCCTTAAATACATATGCTTTTTAACTTACATTTGTGGTGAGAGGAATATGGAGGCTGCCACTGCTGACCTCTCTATTAAAGACAAAGTCTACCTTTTACAAAAAAAAAGACATGCACACTTCCACATGAAGGATTTTCATATTTGCATAGCATTTGAATAGCCCTAAATGTATTAAAAGGGATAATGTGTTTTAGACATATAAGACACATCCAAGATTTATCTTTTTATTTGTATTCAATTAAAAATGTCCTTTCCAAAATAACTTTACTGTATATACATGGCAGGAGTTTTCAGTTTATAAATTGAATTTCTAGAAATACTCATTTTCTTGTAATCGCTTCCCAGGAATACCTATCTTTTGTAATTGGAGTCCCAAATTACAAGCAGATTACTCCATTAATTATACAGATGTGGACACATTTGTTGGCACCCTTAGGACCTATTCACGACAACCACCACATTGCATTGCACAGTGCTGATCCACAGATCCCAGGGGAGGACAGGCATAGCTGGCTCTGCCTCTAGAGAGGCAGAGCCAGCTGTCACTCACGCAGCTGGGTGGATCCAGACAATATTGTCGGGATCTGTCCCGACTGCGGCGCTCTCAGTATATTGCGAGCAATAGCCAGCTATATACTGAGCTTTGGGTCATGGGAGGTTAGTATATGTCCTCCCGTGATCCTAAAGAGAACGATGGGGAAAACCACTTACCCCATAGTTCTTCTAACCGCTTTCCGTCCGCCCGTTGTGAAAAAACAGACGGAGGGACGGCAAAGTCCCAAGGGCGGGTTGCCATGATTAAACGGCTTTTATTCCTGCTCGCGTGTGCCTGGGCAGAAAAAACCCGCCCATTCTTTAAAGCCGCTACCAGCTGTTTTGCATACAACCTATCTCTATAGCCACCGATCGGTTGTATGTTGTGTTTTGCTCGCCCCGTCGAGTGCTGCCGCCTGGAGTGCCGCCTCCTCCTGCACCCTCACCTTCAATCCCAGGATCCGCTAGCCCATCTGCAGCCGGGGCCGGCCCAGGAGGGCGTCAGGAGGTAAGATGGGAGGGGGATCAGCATCTTCCTCCGTGCTGTGAATGCGGAAGTAATGTGTAATACATCACTTCCGTATTCACTTGTCAGTCATCTGGCTGCTATAGCCAGAGAAAAGAAGCTGATGAAGCAGATCTGTGCTTCATCAGCTTCTTTGGTGGTCCCCAGGTGACATTAGGGGGTCTTGGGGACCCCTAATGTCTCCATAAAGAGGACCTGTAAGTGTGCCTTTGCTATTATATAAGGGTATTGTTATCCCCCTGTGATAGCAATAAAACTAAGTGTTAAAAAAAAAGTCACATAGAAAAAGGGAAAAAAATAAATAAAAAATGTTTAGGTCCCCCACCCCCACGTACATATAAAAGTAAAAGTGACCCCGTCTTCTTTATTTTACCAACAAATTGGTTAATAATAAATGTTTTATAATTTAATATATAGGGGAAACTGTTTTTTTTAAATTTCGGTTATTATTCCTTAATATAGTAAAAAATAAAACCCCCAGTGGTGATTAAATACCACCAAAAGAAAGTTCTATCTGTCCCTAAAAAATGGTATAAAATTAATTTCAGTATAGCGTTGCATGACGGAATAAATGTCAAAGTACTGCAGCGCTGAATACTGAAAAATGGCCTGTACAGGAAGGGGGTTTAACACCACGGACTTCAAGTTGTTGAGGGTCCCATTTTTGTCCTTGCCATTTTCATTTGTTTCTTTAATATTCTGTTGAATCAAAAATCTAAACTAAAGACTGATTTAAATATGAAACAAGCAATAATGGACGCCAATTACTTTGGTCATTTTCAAGCTATTTTAGAGAAAATTCTGGGTTCTTTTTCCATGGAAGGGTACCAACAAAACTTGTCAACGTTTGTAGCAGTTTATTGGGTGTTACTTGTATGTCTAAAACAAGGCTAGGCGAAGGGCTATAATAGTGTTTCTTACAGCACTAAGACCAATCTAAAGATCTTAACAAAAGGCAGACATCTCAAATTAAAAAAACAAAAAACAAAAAAAACTTTTAAGTAGCATTTTTCTTTTTGTGCGACATAGGTGTATACTCAAGTCAGGTTAATCCATCACACATGCACAAATGGATTATCACTGGCTGCCCAATGGCCAAATGAGAAAGACAGACTGCTAAAGAACCTTGAGAAAAGATGGCAGCAGCAACAGTCACAGCAGCGACTTCTTTATGGAATGCAATTTTTTTTTTTTGACAGGGGTATCCTAAAACAAGATTACCACTGCGTCCTCTCCATAGCACTCTAATGATCTATTTTCATTCATTAACTGTTTTTGTCAAACTGTTTATTTGTAAAAGAAAAGCTGTAAGTAGTAGACATAAAAAGCTTTAGTTTATATAACTGATACATCTGACAAAAAATCCAGTAAAAAACATTGAAACCATAACATCTTGCCTTTAACTCTCACTTTGAAAGATTTAACCAACTTCACTGGAATAACCAATACTATTTGAAAAGAAGAAAAAAAAAAAGGAAAGCAGAAATCGCCAAGGAAAGACATCCATTACCTAAATGGCACTAGCAAAAAACTAAGGATTTCTGAGATAGGAGGGAGGGAATATATGAGGATCCTTGCTGCTCTGGCCAGAGTTCAAACACCAGATACCTACATACTACCCTGGTAATCTCTAAATCTGTACCGTACAAACCAGATTTTCTATTGTTTAAGTTCCAATCATAATAAATAGCTGCACAAAACCAAAATACAAGAGACTCAATTGACGAAGTTTAACACAAGGATAAGGAACTTATTAGCCATGTGACTAATTTTCAAATCTCTTTGGACCAAGTTGAAAATAACTCACTTTCTTGAAAACAAGGATCTTTATCATGGCGTTTTAGCTTTGTGAATCAAGTCCTATATCTTGAATAGCATTTGCAGTCTGCATCAATACCAAGGCAAATAGTTCACCAGACTAGAAGACTAGAACCATTTGCAATAAATCAAGCTGCACATATTGCTTGCAGGCTCAAAAATCGAAAAATTTACTTGGCAATGCAGCCACACTGGATGATTATGGATTATATGGTTATAAGTACATTTTAAATTACCCTTTAGAGTGAACCCGATGCCAAGCTGTGGAAATTCAAGTATAAACATTCCTAAAGTGCAGTAAATTTGTTTTAACTTTTCTGGGGGGAGGGGGGAGGAGGCATATCTAACACAAACCTTGGTCCTGAGATACTTCTGGTTTAGTCCATCCTTGCTGGGATCCAGTGGAGGTTCTTCCTCTTTTTGAGTAATAGTTTTGTACATCAGCAGGCAGGGTCTTTCTAACAGCCCAACTTGATGCAGAAGTCCACCCAGATCGATCAACAGGTGACTCAAATGTTTCCTCAAATTTCGCTTTATAATTTTTGTGTTCTTGCACCCAAGTAGGCTCTGGCCCTAAAGTATTAGAATTTCCTGAGAAGGGCTGTCTATCGTTCCAAGAATTCTCATTTTGGTCTCCATAATTAAATCCACCTCCGAAACTGCCTCTGCCACGTCCACCACGACCTCTGGGTGAATTCCACTCCATGTTCACATTTCTGTTCCATGAATCACACTGGTTATCTTCCCAATGAGATCCCCTGGGAGAACCTCTTCCTCTGTTTCCTCCTCTCCCTCTACCATCCCCCCTACCTCGATGGTCTCCCCTTCCTCTGAAATCACCTCTTCCTCTGTGATCTCCTCTTCCCCTATTTTCTCCCCTACCTCTGCCCCTGTTGTCTCCCCACCCTCTGCCTCTGCTATCTCCTCTAATCCAGCCATCTCCCCTGCCTCTGCTGTCAAAAGATTGAATCTTTTCTGACACCCAATCCGGGTGATCATTTTTATTATCTGGATATTGTTCAGATGAATCCCTTGAGTCATATTTATCACTTCTAAAAGGTTCGTTTGTTTTTTCATTCTCATTTCTTCTGTATCTGTCAGTTCCCCTAGGACTTTTCCAATTGTCGTTTGATCGCCTTTCTCTCCAAGGGGAGTCCTTTTCGCTCCTCTCAGCTGTATTACTTCTATTCCGATCTCTAGTGCGTGATCCCGACCTTGAGCGAGACCGACTTTTAGACCTAGACTGCCTCCTATGGCGTCTGTCTCTGCTTCTGCCTTTCCACTGCTCACTATGATCCCTATCCCTACTACGTGATCTAGACTTGCGTTTCAAAGGAGAGTCTCTATTTTTAGAACGTGATCGAGAACGTGATTTTTGCCTCTCTTTAACTTCATTTTTAGTAGGGGACCATGTTGTTGATGGAGAATGGAACCTAGATTTTCGTGGACGTAATTCTTTTTTTTGTCTCTCTTCAAGTGGCACGGACTGTTTCTCCGTGGATTCAAGTTCTTCTGTTTTTGTTGAAACCAAAGAACCAGGTTCAGCTACAACTGTTTCAGTCAATTTTGTGGGTTGTTCAGGTTCACGATCACTACAGACAGAGTCGCATTCCATAGCTACAGATTCAATATTGTCCTCACTATAAGTCACCTTTTCTTCATTGTTAAAATCGGATTCCTTTCCAATATTAGTATTATCAGACATTTTGCCACTGGCCACAACACTAGAAACCTCAGGGATGTTTTCGGTTTTATCAACTAAAGGTTGTAGGTCATCATTGCATAGTCCATCTTGTGCCTCACCGACATCACACAACTCCTCAGCTGTAGACTGTTCAGACAGGTGTGTTCTATTTACAGAATTGTCAGTAGTGATCATGTGTGTGGATTCACCAGGTACACTTGTTTTAGAGTCTGTCAGCTTGGGTTCCTGAGAGACATTTTCCACTCCATTAACTTGTTTATCACCCAATTCTTCATCGCTTTTAAAAGAACTATCTTGCACAGGTAATTCGACAGTTAGCACTTTAGGAAGGTCTGGAATTTCAGGTGGGTTCTCTTTAAAAGAATCACAGGAACTAGAGGAATGTTCCAAGTGAGATTGCTTTTGTGTATCTACAGCAGGCAAACTTGTGTATTCCCCAGCTTCAGAGAATTCTGTCCGATCTTCTAAATCGGACAAATGTTCAGCTTTTGACTCAGAGGAACCACTTGACTGGCTCTCATTCAAGCTTTCAGATGACTGCACACCAGCCTGACCAATGTCTGAGTAGTCTTGTTCCATACGATGGGGAACCGCTTCAGATAGTACTGAGGAAATAGAGTGTTTTTCAAGCACCTCCATTTCATTTTCAGAGTCAGACGATGCAGATTCCTTGTTGGAGTAGACATCATCAGTGCACTTCACAGAGAGTGGAGAACCCTGACATTCTCCTTCAGAGACTTGCAGATTCTCTGCCTGCAAAGAATGTCCCTCTTCAGTGATTAAGTGCTTTGTAGTTTCTACCACATCAGAGCCAAGTTCACTTCCAAACATAGACTCTGGCTGACTTTTTTCTGCTGTAGTCTGACCATTTGTAAATATTGGTGAAGGAGGTGAATTCTCTTTGTCAAATAGATATTCATTCTGCAATTCTGGAGATGCAGATGTCTCTTTAACAAAGCTTTCCATATTTTGCATAGGTGATGAAGCAGGTGAGTGTTCTTCTGTGGACTGGTCCATAAGGGACAACACAGAGGAATGATCTTCTGGTTGGTATACCTTTTCAGTGGTGCTTGCAGGAGGCGTAATTACTTCAAACTGTGTTGAGGCAGACAAATCATCTGGTATCTTCAGTTTTTTTTCATCTTGTTCTGATTCACTATTGGAATCACCTTTACTTTCATCAGCTTCTTGTGGAGTTTGTGTTGCTGACCTAAGGCGTTTTCTTGTTTGAGGAGCTTTTTTAGGTGCTCTCTTTCTTCGTTTTGTAGGTGGTTTACTTGGATGTTCAGTTGACAGAGTTTTTGTGGAAGAGCTATTACAACCAGGTGCATCATTATCAGAATTGCTGGATTTTGGTGAGCTTTGAAGTTGGCTGACTTCAGACTTGCTGTTTCGCGTTGAACGTCTTCTAGTACTGGACTGCACACTTTTCTTTCTTGTTCCTTTACTACCAGAAGCAGCTTGTTTTTTCTCTGTTCCTTCTTGAGCACAAGTGTGAACACATGTTCTTTTTGAAAAACCTGTTTTTAAAAAAAGGGGGGGGGGGGAGGAAAAGGACAGCTTCTGTTAAAGTCTATAATGCTATACGTATTTCCTATTTTAAATCAACACATTAATTCAAACACTATACATAAATTTCCAGTTATCCGGCACCCACAGGGATGACTGGTAGATGCTGGATTACTGTAGGTTCTGGTTGTGCGAATTATTAACTCTCAAGCAACCCTCCCTGCTGAGCCAACTCCCCCATTCATCTGCAAGATTCCGCAGCCGGCAGTTAAAAATGTAAATGTAGGGCAGCAGGGGGAGCAATAGCCAGACTACTTTAGGCCATTTCAAATTGCAATAGCAGGCTGGCTATTGCACCCACCCACTGGGCAGAGGAGGGGAACAGAGTGAAAGTTCTGCCTCAGGTCCGCTCCTCTGCTCAGTGGACGGGTGCAATAACCAGCCTGCCATTGCTCCCACCCACTGGGCATAGGAGGGGAACTGAGAGTGAAAGTTCTCTCTCAGGTCTGCGCCTCTGCTCAGTAGGTTGGTGCAAAAGCCAGCCTGCCCAGTGAGCAGAGGAGCGGACCTGAGAGAAAATTCCCTCAGGACCGGCTCTCTGCTCAGGGAGCGGGTGCAATAGCCAGCCTGCTATTGCAATTTGAAATAACCAATAGCAGGCTGGCTATTGCTGCCGACTTTACAGTCAGCTGCCGACTGCATAATCAAGCTGCCAGCAGCAAGATGTAAACTAGAGAATTTCTTAGTGTGCACATGTCTATCAAGCAACCAGCAAAAAAAAAACAATTTCCAAGATTTTTTTTTTCCAACCGGATGCTTGAGTGCCAGATAATGGGGAGTTTACTGTATATTGCACTTATTAAAGTGTAAAATATAGTAAAAAGCATTCCTTATCCTAGTCAAAGTGAAATACCCAGTGGGAGAGTGTCCAAAATAGGGAAATCAATTTTGAAAACTGTAAAGTACATATGCTCAATGCAAGGTAAGCGGCTGGGGTGGCAGTGCTAATTTTGGCAGCAAATTTCAATTTAGTTTTAGGCAAGTATTTAACTGTTTTAGTCTTAGTATAGTTTTAGTCACCTAAATATCATAAGATTTTAGTTGACTAAACCCATTAGATGTAAGTAGACTAAATCTACTGTAGATTTAAAGAGTAACTTAAGAATTTCGCTAGAATTTCCAATCTCATTATATACTCCTGGTGTAAACATTTGTTAACCCATTGTTATTATGGTATTAAAGTTTGAACAGGCAATACAGACACAGATTTAGCTGTTGTAATATAAAACATATCCATCTTAAAATTATAATAAACCAAGTCTTATAAAGAAACAATATTGTGTTTTCAACAAAGGACTAATTAGATATCAATTGATAACTTGCAAATTACATTCTTTATTATTTCAAGTAGAAGTGCAATTCTAAAATATTAAAATGAAAAACTATATTGGCTGTAATGCCGTTGCACAAATTACCTGTTAGCCATCCATTCAGGATGGAACCAGAACTCCAATGAGATTAGTTCCGATTGGATCTCTTCCCAAATAGTCTCTCCCTAACATTTTAGTCCAGTTTAATTTGTCGACTAAAATGTGAAATTATAGTTTCATTATAGGTTTTAGTCATAACTTAGTTTTTGTTTAGTTTTAGTCACTGAAAGTGTTGACAAACTATGACAAACATAAGTTGATGAAATTAACACTGCCGAGTGGAAGGTAATTTATTCTCTTCAAGAGCGTTTTGCATTTCCATATAACGCTATGGAAATGCAAAACCTGCTTGAAGCTGGTTAAATACAAGTCAGAGGGAGGTCAACTGCACTTGTTCAACTCTAAATGATCTCAAGTGTGTCAAACGGATGCCATTGACAATAAGTTCAGAAACAGGTTATACTGCCACCTCCCGGAGGCTGTGACACTGGCAAACAGAAAACAGATAACACCTTCTCTGCCTCAATTTTGAGAGAAAGCAACACACAGGGCAGCAAAAACAGAGTGATTGGACCTGTACCCCTAGACTGCAAGGACAAGATTTCACACCAAGTACAAAAATCTAATTTTCTTTATCTATTGATACAGTCGCCACTTTCACAAGCTGTCCAACTGAGGGGTGGACAACAACCACTGACCGATCCAATAAAAAAAAAAAAATTGGAACCTGCAAGTCAGGACTACCAGGAGAAGCAATGGCCATATCCGAACCAGACGAGGCAACATCCCCTGCGAGACAGTGGAATCTGCCAATGGAATGTCAAAGTGGATCAAACTGATGCTCAAGACCAGGACAGAAGAGATTACCACCAAAGAGAATGATTGTACCAGAAGGAACACTGAGCCTGCACCAAAAAGATGTTGCGAAGCCAAAAAAAAAGAAAAAACCACCACCAAAACAGGTTGAACATCCTAACTACTTGATGAAAACTAGACCAACAATGTTAAATGGTCAACACAAGGAAACAGACAAAATCCCAGAACAGGTCCATGAAGAGAACCTTGGACAAAACAAGTCAAGAAGACCAGCCGGTCTACAGGCGAAAGGCCCAAGACATTTCCAACCTTTGGATGCAGGAAAAGAAGATTCCAGGTTAAGACTGAGGTGGCCTGGCCAGACAACCAACCTTACAACAAGATATCCATCCAGGGAAAGTGAAAAGCCTCAGTGCAATAACCAAAATGATTGCAAAAAGACCTCCGAGGTGTCTCTAAGAACTGACAGAGGAATTCTGAAGGAGCTACGTAACCTTGTTCATGAACATGGTTCTAAGAGTTATCGGCCCCAATGCAGTGAGGCATTGACATTATTTGCGCGAAAGGCATGAACCTTAGCAAAAGAGCTAAAAATATTCACCTGATTACGAACAAAACAGAGGAAAGGATCAGGAAAATCATCAAGAGCTGCAGATCTGCCACAAAAGGAGAACCTAACTCCAGGTAATCAGCTCTTCCGAAGGCCTGTGATAGTACTCTATTCCCAACAGGCGTTCCTCCAGTCAGCACTTGCTAGGATCCTAGCAAGTGCTGACTGCAGACAATCTAGGGGAACAAAAGGCCCTCCAGAGATCACTTCTGCCTGCTGTCCATAAGATGAGGTGCAAAGCATTGTCTCCAAGGAAGGTAGTATGGATGAGAGCATCACTCTTGCAGTCATCCAGCATAGCAATAGGCCACTAGTCCTGTCAGACAAAACTCCCAAACCTTCCCAGAGGTAAAAGTCTTACAAAACCTAAGTGATGTCCATCTGGTCAAAGAACTGATTCACAGTGAGAACCCTTGAAGAAACAGTGACCAACTGAAGGAAATGGCGAGTCAACAGGGGAAAACTGTTGAGTATTCCCTCAAAAGCCTACAAGGGGGGAATGTCCCTGACAGTTAAGGGTCTACGTTTACATCCCAAAGGGTGTAAACGTCTATCAAAGGTCTTGAGCTGAAATTATTTGTCCATTGGTATCCAATAGATATTGACACTAAAGGCCTGTGAAGTCCATCCTGTCAAAGCCAGCAGGTATTAGGCACGTCAAAAGAGTTCTGACTGTAAGGGTCAGAAAGCTGACCCTCTTTGAGGAGAGTCGCCTAAGCGCTCCACAATAGGTATGACCAGAAAAGGAGACTAGGGTGGACATAGAGCCCGGTGTCTGAAGAAATAACATGTGCTTCCAATGGACAGTGGTCTGTCATTTGCTTGGGAAGGGATCAGTAAGAACTGGTCATGGCCAACCTTGAAAGTAAGGGGTTCCCTCTGGATCAGGGAAATACTGAGAAGCCCCACAAGGGGTTCAACATTATTTAAGGATATAGAACTACAGGGAGGCCTGGGTTGATAGTATAAAAGATAAAAATAGCTCCAATATGTAGAGTGGAATTCTTCAAAATGGAAATAGATTATAAGGATATCAGATTAGCCACTTAAAACTACTGTTATAAATGAAAGTAAAAACAGAAAGAGCTAATGGATCAACCGAAAACAATATCCTTTATTAACACTAAACACTAATATAGATACAAATAAACAAGTGACTATAAATCCCTCAAAAAGAAACTTCCCAATGGAGAGTTAAAATCTATCACAACACTGTCATCCAGCTAAACCTATTCCCTCCCATACACATCAGTATCCGTATATGCCATGCTTGCACCTTGAGAGCACAACATTGTAGCCGTGTCTGGAAAGTGGAAACATTTATAAGCCTGATGAACCAGAGTCGCTGGGGTGAGTTCACTCGCATAAAATATACAGTAAATTTACCACTCAGTAGTATACAAAGTCATTAGTCCACTGTAATATAGTGTGATCTCTAAGGCATAGCAAGCTTAGCCATGAAAATAAGGGATAGAAATGCAGATGGAGCGCTTATGCAGGCAATCAGCCAAGCATAGGAAATACAAAGAGCCACATTCACACAAAAGCTGTGTCCAAACTGGTGCTTACCACTCCAACATCTCTCTGATGGTTCCCACTTTACATATCAAAAGCCACAACTGATTCATCCTGCCTAACACACAGGTGAAGCCTCCTAAACCGCTAAAGTGCTACCTCCTGCCGAAGTACATGAAGGATGAATCTCCTCTGACCCCTCCTGCATTGAGGCAGAAGCATATTCTACCCACTTCTGGTATAGCGATTTACAGTGTCAAGAGCAGGGTCAGAGAGAGGATGACCCTCAAAGCCCAAGATGCTCCTTGGATTTAGTATCAGTGTGTTCCTCCCCAGACTTGGCCGGGGAGGGCGCCAGATCAGTGGTGGTGGTGGAAAATATGAAAAAGGCAGCCACTGGTGCAAACATTGAGGGCCTGTTCACATTAGTTTCAGGTCCGGATCAGCAGATGCGGTGCTATGTGTTTTGCCGCGTTTTGTATGCGTTCCAGTTTAAAAAAAAAAAATATTTTTTTTTTGCTGGAGTGGGGCTGTCAGTATGTTTGCTGCAGGGCAGTGAGTTTTTGACGCGTTTGACGTTTCCGGACCGTACAAAATGTGAAATGCAGTATTGGTCGTAACCTGAACGGACTGTGTACGTGAGAACTGTAGCCCATAAAACACATAGGAATACATTGAGATGCATTTTTAGTGCAGGAGCGTACAGATCAGGTCAGCACAGAAAACGCGCGTCGTGTGAACAGGCCCTGAGGTAGCTCCTGACTTCAGCCGAAATCAGCCTTACTCACCAATTCTTCAGAGACAGCATCACACCTGGAGATGTGCCACTGCTTTGGACCTAGAAAGCATTTTGCTGCTAACAGACAGGCAGGCACCACAGTGTAGAGCTGCAGTCACATTCCAGACTAGCGCCATACATCCAGTCCCGTGGGGTCTGGGTACAGCCTCCAGAGCTAATGCTGAGGTTCTGAGGAAAGAGCAATTAGGATTGCTGCCATTTAGAAACCAGCTTAAGAAGCAGTACTGCAAGGAATCTTGACACCAGTCACCAATAGAAAATCTCGAAGCAACAAAGGTTTTACACACAAAAAAAAAAAAAGATTGTTTATCAGATCAGAAGAAAAGTCATTCAACCTGTTTAGACACAAACAAAAAATGTGACAGGATGGGAAGAAAAAGCGGTATACAGGGTCTGGCTTACAACTTTCCTGTTTACCAGCCTCCCAACCTCCTGAATGAGGCACCATAACCGGACTATCTGAATTCCTGGATCCCGCAATAGACCAGAAAGAAAATACATTAAAGGGTGTCTGTTTTGACAGTGATGGTAAAACCATAACAGGGATTTCCTGTATTTACAGAATAGAGCAGATAATTTTTGTTCAATGTCATGTTTGTCCCAGCAAAGCTTTAATAATTATAACCCAGCTCTAGATTGGTATACTCACAAAAACGAATTCATTGGATCTTGCGGGTCTAGATTGGCAAAGCAGGAACATTTTCCTTTCTAAATGAAAATTACACCCATTTCCTATGTCCACACTTCCTTTAACAATGCAATGGCAGTCCTTTTGCAAGGGTACGGTTTAGGTGCTGGCAACTTTACAAATAATAACACATTTTATATTACAACACTTGAGTTTAAACAAGGTTTTATCTTCTCCCACTCTGAGATGTGTTGTACAGTGGACCGCAAGAGGCTGATGTCAAGCTACATTTGGTTACGGAGGGTAGCCATGCACTGTGCGAATTCGCACAGCAGGTGCCACTGTCGGCCAGCATTCCTTGATCAGCTGATCGAAGGAGCCAACTGGAAAATCTTCACACGAAGAGAGTGAGCTGCCTGCCACCTCTGTTCGGGTATTCCGACAGCCTACAAATAGGGACTTAAACATAGGCCCTCAAGTTAGTGATGTTTTTTACATTATATGATATATTACACGTAAGGGAAAGCCTTCTTAAATAGAGACTCTGGGTGTGCACATTATTCTTTTCCATGTCCACTGTTTTATATAATTCCTAGGCGAGATATGAAAGATTTGCATTTTTTGCAACCATCATGCTAAGTAATGCATCCTAATTGACCTTAATACTTTGCTAGCACAGCACACAATTTAGCACTTATTCTACAGTCCCACATGCTTGATCCCCAATTCAACAATGAAACAAGTTTTTAATCTTAACATTCATTACAAAATCCTCAGCTACAACAAAAAATTTTCCCAAAATAGTTACCTTTGTTCCTGACAGATAAAGGTCTTATGGCAGATATATAGTCATCCAAAAAAGATGGTGAGTGGATAAGTGTTTCAACAGAAAGAGAGGAATTGCTATGAACAAAATAGTTTAAAAATACAAGTTAATTCAAAATACAAATAATGTACATTGGGGCTTACGTATATTTAAAAAAAAAAAGTGTGCCAAGAACAACATTTATTGCTGTTCATAGCAACCAATCAGAATCCTTAATTTTTAAGCCATGGACTGTAATGACAACAGTTAAAAGGTGGATTGGCTGCTTTGGCCATCAAGAAAAATATATCACATTTTTCATGCATAAGTTTTTTTAGAAGCTTTCTAATAATTAAAAAACTTTTAGCAAAATCAGACCTTAACTTGTGTAGTAAAATTGTTGTATTTACATTGCCCAAAACCATAAATTTAATATATTGCAGCGTACCAATCTCTTTAGATGAGGTACCTGTAAATTCTTTCCTTAATTTTGTCCTTACAATCCCATGAATAAACTTGGTTCCTGTAACATGTCACCCTCTGTTCATGGGGGAGGGATAAGAAGTTTTTTCACACACAAAAAAAAAAAGATATGGTTTTGCTTTCAGTTTAGCTCACAGAAAGTGACTAAAAAAAAAAAAAAAAGGTGTTCTTATCTTGAAGAATTAAAGCTATAGGAGGTCACTACAGCTAAGGACTAGTAGGCTACAATGTATTACATTTTTATTTTTGGGTTAAGATATACTTAAAAAGTGGAACCAAAATACTTTTTTTAGTCAGCAACACGTCCAACATGAAATTCTGCCATAGCACACTCATATTGTGCCCATTCAGAGCTATGCCCCAAAAAATCTGGTTTGTTTTAATTCCCTTCTCTGAATCAGTACTGCTAGCTGTCTGCACCAATGCAGAAAAGATACACAGGGAGCTTTGAGAGATGATATAAGAGGACCTCTCTCTACATACCATGCACCTCTTAAGATGCATCGCTTTTCTCATCTGGTTAATATCCACTGTGTGGTTGCAGCGAAGCAGTGCAAAAGATGTGTGTGCTCATACAAATACATAAATTAATGTGTTCAAAGTATCAAACAGTAACGGCAGCCCATAAAATGTATTATTTCATAGATTATTTTTTTCCGATACTCGCTGACACCAAAAGTACCATTAAAAAGGAGAACTATGAGGTGAGTTCTTTTCACTCACCTCATAGTTCTAGCCGACCTGTGACAATGAGACTGTCACAGGTCGGCTCAGTAGATCGGGAAGTGAGCGAACACATACCGGTGTTCGCTCACCTCCCGATCCTGTCACAGCTCTCTGCCGTGACAGGGGAGGGGCTGGATTCCCTCTAGATTGACAGCTGGCTCTGCCTCTCACGCAGCTGGGCGGATCCAGACATAATTGCCAGGATCCGCTTCAGCGTCTCAGTATACCGTGAGCAGTAGCTTCCGGTATACTGAGCTTAGGGTGACGGGAGGACGCTAGTTTGTGTCCTCCCGTTACCCTAAGGAGAACTACGGGGGAAAAGCCTTCTGATTAGCCGGGAAACCGGCTCCATGCTCCTTCGCCACCAAGCGACAAGGGAGCATGGAGCGGGCTTTCTGGCCAATCAAGAAGCCGGGGGGGCAGGTAATGACTCGCCGTCCGTCTGACCTATCAGGAAGGCGGGGGTGAGTTATTACCCACACCCTGACTTCGTGATTGGCAGGGAAGCCAGCTCCATGGTGACGAGGGAACATGGAGCCGGCATCCTGGCCAATCAGGAAGCTGGGTGGCGTTTAATGACTCACCGCCTGACTTCCTGATACTGGAAGTTCCTGTATTGGAAGCATTTGGGTGAGTACAAGTACTCGTCCAAATACTCGGTATCTGTGTGCGTGTAAATAATCAAAGAATACAGTATATTTACAAATTTGCCATCCACATACAGTGTAGCAGTTAATATATGCAAAAAGGTTTGCATCAATATATCATTTTTTCCCCCCAATTGTAACTAATATAAATAGTAATTACTGTGGGGCTTATTTACAAAAAGCAGGGTGTGGTTTTTAGAAGAGTGCCTATAAAGCACAAAAGGAGCCACAATGCATCACAATATTTTATAGTTACACTGGTATCTGCCTCATAAGGCAAAGCCCCTTTTCACAGACTCCATATAGTGTTTCTTCGTTAAGAAGCTGCTGATTTACGGAGTCAAAGCAGAACACAAGTGAAAACCACTTGCAGACTTACAGTGGAACTAAAGCCCAAACTTTTAAACTTTTAATTTTTAGTTTTGAATAGAGTGGAGAGGAATAACACACCTCTATCGTTTTAATTGCTGTCTGTGTCCCCATTTGGGAGATTCACAAACAGTATTTGACATGGTGGCCTAAAAGTGAAAGAAAATCCCAAATTTTGGGATATCAGAACAGGAAGAGGGGAAATCCTCCAATGGGGACAATAGTTCCAGTGACCCTGCTGACCACCAGGGCTCTCTTTCTCACTTCCCGTTGTGGCTATGTGACAAGAGGTGAAGGGAAATCTCCCCAATGGGACACAGATGTCCAAAACCATCAGTCTTGAAAAATGGGAACTGCCATTGCCGTTTTATTTTACAATTAAATTATATGTGCAATAACTCAGGGGCCATAATTCTCACCCATTAAAATACAGAGTCAGTGACATGGATTAAGATTTCCAACCAATGTTCTAAATCTGTGACTCACTAAGCAGCAGATTAAGGATAATGATATCAAGTTGGGAAACTTGACACGACCAAGAAGCAATGGAACGTCACCCTTCAAACTAGCCTACCACTTGCGTGTAATAGAGGTGCTCCGAGGCAATTTAAAGGAGAACTATGGGGTCAGTGTTTTTCCCCATAGTTCTCCTTGGGGTAACGGGAGGACACAAACTAGCGTCCTCCCGTTACCCTAAGCTCAGTATACCGCGAGCTACAGCTCGCGGTATACTGAGACGCCGCACCTGGAGCGGATCCCGACTTAGATGACGGGATCCGCCCAGCTGCGTGAGTGACAGCTGGCTCTGCCTATCTAGAGGCAGAGCCAGCTGTACCCGCCCCCTCCCCCGTCCGTTCCGCCAGTCAGCGCTGGCAGATCGGAGTGGGGAGAGGGGAATCCAGCCCCTCCCCCTGTCACGGCAGAGAGCCGTGACAGGATCGAGAGGTGAGGGAACCCGGTATGTTTTCCCTCACCTCCCGATCTACTGAGCCGACCTGTGACAGTCTCATTGTCACATGTCGGCTTAGAACTATGAGGTGAGAGGAAATCACTCATGTCATAGTTCTCCTTTAAAATTCAGCGATGGCATTAACGGTTTTAAAATGTAAAATGCATGGAATGCTTCAGGGCCCATTTACACTAGCCTGTCTGCTAAAATGCTGCATTTCAGCAAACTGGCTAGTGCGTTGTAACAGCTCCGGTAGTGTGTGTTGTATTGCACACTGCCAGAGCAGTACTTTACATTTTCTTTCTTTTTTAAACTTTATGTGAAGTGTACAATGAGCATTACATTCAGGTTCCCATCGTGCATCGACCTGTGGTGCCATACAGTGAGCTTGGATAAAATGCAGCATGTATTTTATCACAGTCCACCACTCACTGCATTATGATGTGAATGGGACACATAGAAAACAATTGTTTTCTGGGTGTTCTTGCATTGATCCGGTGTGGTACAACGCAGGTCACTGCTATAGGTGTGAACGGTCCCTATTTGTACTAATTTCATTCTCTGAATAATCCTCAGTGTTTTAAATGTTCTTAAAACTCCAGTTCTTGTTTACATATTTTATTGAAAAATTTGAGAAGCTAAAAAATCAGAAGCCTAGTGTGGCTTTTTGTGATTAACTTGATATTTTAAAATTAATGTAAAAAATAGAGTAGGAAAATCACGGCTTGAATATATACATTTGAAAGTGTGCATTCAAATATTAAGACACAGACGTACATACCTTTCTATTCTTTCCATTGTTGTTGGAAGCCTCAAATGATTCAGCCCTTCCCTCTTCCGCTGTATCAAACACAGAGCACTCTCCTCTTCTACTTCTGAACTAAAATACATTTTTCAAGAACCACATTTGTATACAATAAAATCCAAATATACTAAAGTCTGTTGGCTAAAATGTATGCTTAATGTAGTCTACAGAAATGCAACTAATTGTTTCCAGGGATAGCATAAAGAAACATCTGAGCTTTTTTTTTCACAGGCGTTTATGTCAAGAAAATTTTCCCACACTTCATGTACCAGTTACTAGGTTTTGTCTGGAGCTGAGCTTTTACCACTGCTTGGTCACCATCTGGGACGGACAAAAAAAAAAAAAAATGCTGTCTTAAAAAGAATGTTCTGCTACTAACTCGCTTATTGGTATGTCAATCCCCTGGTCCCCCCACAAGGCTTTGTGATTCTATGCATCAGCACCCATGTCACTACTGTGTCCTGTAGGGATGTGGGAGACAGCAAATGGAATGAAAGCAAACAGCAGGAAACTAGTAATCATGTCTGAAGCAGAAGCTTTCTCATCTGCCAGAGCTTATGAAGACAGCCAAGCTCAAAAGCACTGCCTGTCAGAAAGGTAACACTGTATTGCCATTTGGCAGCTTTATTGGTAAAACACCTATTTTATATTTGATACATGTTCACATAGCATAACCGAAAAAAATTCTGCCAACATATTACTTGCTTTTATTTCTGAAAGAAAAGGAATGGAAGGAGACCGGGTAGGTTAATGTTTACCATAAATTACCCCAACTGTACTGCGCTGGCAGATCTCATCAGTTATAAACTAGATTTGGATAGGTGTCTGCCCTAACAAATGGTTAAAGATCAAGAAGCGTTGTATGTTAATGAGGGGAAGCTCAGAATGCCCCCTAGTCTTTCTAAGGGTAGAGCTAGTATTGCCTGTAACTTTGAAATTGTAGTGAAGCTTGCAGTATGTTCAAATGTCTGTTCCACAGACGTATCTAAAAAGGTAATATATGTTTTACAAATTATTTTTAGGTATGCTGTATAAATAAGAACACATAATGGGGGTTTCTAAAATTTGAATGCAAAAGTGGAAATGCACTTTAAGCATTTTCTTTTGAAGGCAGCTCTTAACTTTTTAAGCATTACATAAGAGAATTATTTATAGCAGCTCTGCAGGAATCAAAGCGTCTTAAGCCTCATTCACACTGCCGTACAATATACGCTGTGTATAGATGTGCGCAGCGTATTTTCACATATGCAAATAAATGGCTCCATACACAGCTGCGTATGGAGCCGTATATTTGCGCTGCGCAAGAAAAAAATTGGACCCAAGATGGGTCCGGGCTCCATATTTCTGCGTATTTTACACGCGTACATGCAGATACAGTACATTAGTAAATTTCTATTAAGAATGATGCATTCTGGGATTGCATACAGTGCACACATACGTGCATATACGCAATAGAAAATTTTGCTCTTGCGTTGTGTGTGTATGTGGCACTGTATAGTGCATTATGTTTTCTCCACTCTTCTCTAAAAGAACACAAACTATAAGAATATGGTTTTCACTGTACTATCACCAAAACAGCAAGATTGAAAACACTTGAGTGCGTGTAAACCTGTAAAAATAAATGGATAGATTTGACAATGCACTATGGATTGCCTGAAAATTCAGGTCAAGTTATCTATTAAAGAACGAGTTACTGTGGTGAGCACTCCACTTGCATGTATACATTTTCAGCTTAAGCTACTGGGTACACATACACATATATACAAAAAAGGACATGCAAAATATTACTATGCAATATTTACACAAATTGGTCTGGATCCTATTAAAGAAATTATGTAATTTGTAATTGTACAAAAAAAAAAAAACCTACACATTCCCTTTAAATCCCAACACTGCACCAAAATCTTCGTATAACTGAAGACCCCAATAGTCTTTTAATTGAATTTATGTAACGTTTGGTCCCTGCAAACTTGTTAAAATCCTTCCCTCCGTTTTTCAGGATAGTACAGCTCCCATCATAGTTCCACAGCCAATGGCTGACATCAGCAAGGCTGCAATAACAAGCGCCGATGTCACGTCTCTGCCACCTCTGTTTTGCCATTCATAAAGCACAGCCTGTGATGATGCTGGAGTTGGCTGGGCCATGCTTTATGAGTTGTAAATTACAGAGATGAGTGAAGACATGATATCAGCTCTGTTGTCTGTTAAGGTTGTCTTGTGGATATCGGCATTGGCCGGAATAAATCAGGACCGGTACTATCTGGGGAGACTGAGGAGGGTTTTTTTAACTTGTTTTCAGCAAGAAGACCTTACATAAATGCTAGGAAGTAAATTGCTATTAGGGACTAAAAAAGTATGAACTGGATAGTGTCTGGAGTTGGGCTTTAACCACACTTTGCTGATTATCTACCATTACATGACAGTGTATAGTTCTTAGGGATCAGAGCAGCTGAATAATAACAGTCTATATAGCAGATACATAAACAAGCTGACTGCAGTATCATTGAGCAGACAGCTAGGAAAACTGACAGCTTGTAAAGATTTGTGGGTGTTAGCAATAGTTGTATTAGGACAACATGTGTTAGCAATAGCTGTATAGGACAATGCGTTTAGTTTCGAGTATTACAATACATCTTTGGACCAGGGTTAACAGCCACGTTGCGATTACTGCTGGGCAAAAGGAAACATTTTTCTAGCTGTGCTGGCAAGGATCACTGAATCCCACAGGGGATGTGTAATTCAGTATACAATAATAGACACTGGCATGAAAGAGTTGGAGCTGGATGCAAGGAAATGGTACACACAGTAACATCTTATTTCTCACTGCCAACTCTGACCAACAGTGTACACTGGTAGATGTAACCCCCTTGGAGTTCAGTGAACCATACAATAAAAAACACAACATTGCTCCTTGGCCCCCTGCTGGCTAGAACTGAGAGCTTGCAGTATCCATGTACTCATTTGCTCTTATTGTCATCGCTTTAGATTTTAAACAGTGGTGATCCAACAACATCTAAACTTTTTTTTTTTATCTCGACACGTCCTAAGGTTTTGATTCAAGGCTTCTGACAAGGTATCCTGTGATAACCAGTAGACATGAAAACTTGCTTCTTACGTCAGCTATTTGAGAGAAGAAAATAATGGCTATAAGAGCTGCTTGTAATTTAAAGCATGTATGTCTTCCACGCTCCTGAGGATCTGCCCACAACCGAAAAGAGCTTTTAATGCGAGGAAGTCTTCCATAATCATCAAGAAGCTCATGTGTTGGCCAGGTTAATGCCTGCAAAACAGATTTAAAACCCACTGTAGTAACAGAGACTTGAAACTCGAATTTGATTCTTTCTTACTATGTCATAAAAATGAAGTGACCAACATTACAATAATTTTTGCTCTGAAAGCATAACCTGAACATTCATGCCTAGTTTTAGAACGTTGGTTTATCAGGTCAGTTATTTCAATATATGCCCTTTATTGGTTTGCATATAAAAAAATAATAATTCAAAGTGCAGATGTTAGCCCAAAAGGTGGCTAATAATTCAGATCTGCTTCTGGTGTTGCCTTGCACCTAGAAATGCTGATGCTTGGTGCTAGGTTATACCTAGAATCTAATGTACAGATCAATGCGTATGCAAATATGTATACATTTGCATAAAGAGGAAATACCTAATGATCTAAGGGAAATTATTAAATTTATATCCTACATTCCTTCTATAAATATTTGCACTACTACTTGGCACAAATCACAAGCCTCAGACAAACAATTTAACCATACTGAGCAGGGCTTAAGTGTCATTCCATCTACAGCTCTGGAAGAGATACAGTATGTCTCTCTATGGGTTGTTCTAACACCCAACATCTTGTTTCAAACAAAATCTATTTCTTAGTATATTATGGAGAGGTTCTACTAGGTCATGGAAGACATATGACCAAATTATTTAACAAGTTTAATATTTTAGTATCACAGATATTGACAGAAGCCTTCATTCAATCTAACAACTATGACGTAACTGCATATACAATATAAAAAATATTTTTTTTGTTATTATGTACACATTTAAATACAGGCATACATATAGAAGTATGATGCGTTACATTAGGAAGGATCTTTTAGGAATCTAAAAATCAGACAAAAGTAAACTGAAAAGGGTCACGCCTTTAAAAAAAAATTTAAAAAAATTTAAAACAGATATAAAAAGATCAGTTGCCCTAACACAGCTACTAGTAACACTCACAAATGTGCAAATTGTTTATGTATTGGCACAAAAAATATTGAAATAAGTATTCAAGAGCCACTAGAGCAATACTAAAAAAAACAAAAACAAACACCACCTAATTGGCATCAGGGCAGATGGTGCACTCATTTACAATGTCTCTCACAGACAATTGTATACGTTTACCAAAAACTATTTTTAGAATTATTTTATGTCACTGCATTTGCAGAGCCTACTGGGCTTTCGACTTAATCTGCACATTCCTTAAACATATGGTAATGATGGCAGGTTATAATTTTAGGACTGTTGGTTTTAAACACTTAAAAATACTTAAGATCCCAGTATTATTTCTTCATTGCAACTGAACAATGAATGGCAAAATACTATAAGCATTTACACTTGGGACCGAAGTATTGCTAGATGTCGACATTGCAAGAGGTTGGGAATTTTAGTATATGGAGATGGGAAGATAATGAAAGCCTCGAAAGTGCAAGATTCTAGGTTGTCACAACCTTCTGGTGAGTGGAATGTATAACAGGATTTGGCACAGAGTGAGGATGTTAGAAAAGAAAGTACTTTCGGGTACAAGGTTTCAATAGGGGTGCTCTGTATACCTTTTCTAATAGTTATACTTTTACACTTTCTCTCCCTTTGGATGCCAGCATTTCTTTATCATTGTAGAAACTTCCACAAAGCGCATTTTTCCCCCCAATCGTTGAGTAACCTCAATTAGACCAAATTTGTTTGTATGGGATGGGAGTAGAGCCACTATTCTTTGCAACATAATTTCCTTTCTGTTGTAATCTCATACTACCAGCCCATATATATGACACTACAACATTTTCATCCACATTTTTCTGTAAA